GGGTCATTGATTTTTCCCTATATGCATATAGTAAAAACTTAAAAAATCCTCTTTTAAAGAACCAAAAGAGTTAGAGCTAAGATATTTAGCATGAAACATGTTCTAATAAGTGTCTACCATGTTTGTTCAAATAAAAGCCCTGGGGTTCGAAATTTGCATCGCCCCGGGGGGCGGGGTCATTGATTTTCCCTATATGCATATAGTAAAAAAACTTAAAAAAATCTTCTTTTAAAGAACTCAAAAGAGCTATGGCTTAAGATATTTTAGCATTAAAACATGTTCTATATAGGTGTTCTACCAAGTTTGTTCAAATAAAAAGCCCTGGGGTCAAAATTGGCACCGCCCCGGGGGTCATTGATTTTCCTTATATGTGTATAGCAAAAACTTAAAAAATCTTCTTTTGAAAAAACCCAAATAGCTAGAGTTAAGATATTAAGCATGAAACATCTTTTAGTGAGTGTCTACCAAAGTTTGTTCAAATAAAAGACCTGGGGTCAAAATTGGCCCCGCCCCGGGGTCATTGATTTTCTTTATATGTGTATAGCAAAAACTTAAAATCTTCTTTGAAAAAACCCAAATAGCTAGAGTTTAGATATTAAGCATGAAACATCTTCTAGTAAGTGTCTACAAAGTTTGTTCAAATAAAAGCCCTGGGGTCAAAATTGGCCCGGTCCCAGGGGTGTCATTGTTTTTAACTATATGTGTATAGTAAAAACTTTAAAAAAATCCTCTTTTAAAAAGCCCAATGGGCTAGAGCTGAGATGTTTAGCATGAAACATCTTCTTATGGGTGTCTACCAAGTTTGTGCAAATAAAAGCCCTTTGGGTTAAATTGGCCCTGCAACGTTGGGGGGGGGGGTGGTTGGGTGGGGCCTATATACAGGTGAGCGACCTCAGGGCCATCATGGCCTTTCTTGTTTCTTTTCATCAGTTATTCATTTGGCAATCAGTTCTTTCACCCATTTCTTCATATACACTTGATCAGATACATTATATATGTGTTTTTCCAGTTAAACCACAACTGTATATTATCACTGTTAAGTTATTGAGCGGAAACTGTTTTCAGTTTTAAGGTAATAGTGACCTTGTGACCCAAAAATCAATAGGTGTCTTCTACCCGATATGGACAATCATCCTATGAAGTTTGAATACTGTGGGCCAAATGGAACTTAAATTATGCTCCGGAAATCATCTTCAGTTTTAAGGTAATAGTGACCTTGACCTATGACCTTGTGACCCCAAAATCAGTAGGGGTCTTCTACCCAATATGGACAATCATCCTTGAATACTATGGGCCAAATGAAAATTAAGTTATGCTCCGGAAACCATTTTCAGTGTTAAGGTAATAGTGACCTTGACCGTGTGACCCCAAAATCAATAGGGGTCTTCTACCCAATATGGACAATCATCCTATGAAGTTTGAATACTGTGGGCCAAATGGAACTTAAGTTATGCTCCGGATACCAAATTGCTAACGGACGGACGGATGTTCTAACAGGAGAGTAATAATGTGGCTACTCTATTGTTCTCTCTATTGTTCTTTTTAGCCACACAAAAGAAAATAGCCACATAAAAGCATTACAGAATGAATGACATCAAAGAGAAAGAACAGTTACCTATTGTCACTCTAGCCACATAATTACTGTCCTGTGAGTGCGGACGGACAGACAAATGGACAGACGGACCGACGCCAAGGGGTATTACCTAATACCCAAAATTCTTTCGGGTATAAAACAAAAATTCTAAGTCGAAAAGGGGCATAATTCTGTTAAAATGCTTGATAGAGTTACTTTCTCCTGTCTACAGGTTGGAGTCATGAGAGTAAACAAGTGTGCAAAGTTTCAAAGCCATATGTCATTGGACTTTAAAAATATTTGAGGCATTACAAAAACTTTTAAAAAAAACATAAGTGGTTACGCCGACGCCGACGCTCAGGTGACTACAATAGCTCTTCTTATTCTTATCGAATAGTCGAGTTAAAAATACAAATATAAATGAATTCATGTTCTGAGTGTCAAGAGCCTTTAGTTATGCCTGAGTAAATTTTTATTTTAAGTCATTACATGTCAATTTTTCATCAGAAATTCAGCAAAAATAAATTTCATATCATTTGTAATTTAGAAACTTTTTTTAAAAAAACCATTATCCAATCAAAAAAAAAAGGGAAGAGTGTTGTTAAGTAATTTCTATTTACCAATGAGTATAGCATATATATCCCAAAGATATAAATTTGATTGGATAATAAAATTATGATTATATTCAAATTGAATGATTAACAGGTCTATATTCCATCCCTACGGGATTTATCAACCAATCCCTTGCTAAAACGACAAAGATCATCCCGGGCCATTAATTACGCAATATGAGGTTAGAATCGTTTGTTCTTCAACCCTAAGGAGCCAATTTACATTTTATTACCCTTTTATACCGGAAATAAATGAGTTCCAAGCTGAGACAGATTAATCTCCAATCATCAAAATATTCCATACTTGTTATTACTTTTCACGTTTGGATGGCCATTTTGTTCTCTAGAAATGTCCATTTTTTTAGGGAAAAATAACATGTAGTTGTTCATTTCATTTCAAATTCTAGGCAAGATAAAACTGTCGAAATAGTGTTATTATAAAATAAAAAATAATAAATTGCCTTCCAACATGAGAGGAAAAGACTGATAGTCAACAAATTTTTCAACTCCACAAGCGAGGTTTTTAGGGGTCAGCATACAGTTATAAACAGATTTTCCCGAACATCTTTTTATAGTTACCCCTTTTTTAAAAAAAATTTTGGCCCAATAAACCTTTGGGGAAATTTATTTTATTTTTCAAAAAATCGGGGTCTTCCATTTGTCTTTTAAATTTTTAAAAATTTAAAAAGGGAAAAATTGTTTTTTCAAATTTTTGACGGGTTTTAAAAAGGCTTGTACAGGGAAACAGGGAAAGGGAAAAAAAAACCCAAAAGTGCTTTTTAAAGCAAAAATTCCCGGGGGCCCCCAAAGAAAAAGGGTTTTAAAAATTGGATCAACAAATAAAAAATCGTGAAATTGGGTGTATATTAAGTAATGGGTTAAATCTGGTTTATACTCTCATTTCTCATTACCCATACATCAACAGTACCCAAATGAACACAATTATTCAAGAAATAGTAAAATTTACCTTTGAATGTATCAATAAATCTAACCGAGAGATCTGGTTTATAAACAATAAAGCTTGTCAATTTCTGGCACTTCCTTCTTGTTCTGTAGGCCATCTGTAAAAAAAATAGATTACAGCTGCTAATGAAACTATTAGGATTTAAAAAAACAAAAAACAAAAAAACAAACTGGAATGCACAGGGCTACAGATAACATTTTGTATATATTGGGTAATTACCCCTTGTTTTGTGATCTATTGGTTTTTTTTTATTTTCTTAGAGTTATTTCTGTATTTTTTACCCTCCCCCCTCTAACCAATTTGGGTTATAAAGCACGAGTTCATGTATTTTACCCAAAATTTCTGACCTACATTGTAGACTGTTGTAGGTTTTGTATAGTTATAAAGAAGCTACTTACTACTTTGCTTTATTGTTTACTGGCCTAGGAGATTTCCAAGCTGCCTGATATAATTTAAAGGTTAAAACAGTCTGAAACAGTATGATCTGCCTGATGTATGCGTTAAGTAATAATTGACGTCATTACGCACCAGTTCAAATGTAGTTTGCATAAATAAGAATTCTTCATTTACTTTTTCTTACCCTTAGTTATTATTTCTATTGGGTTTTTAGACATTTTAATTGGGTAATAACACAAATACGCATGTTATCTGCAGCCCTGAATGCATCATTTCGTTCCAACTTAAGGTTAACAAAGTCTTGGCTGCAAAAGATTTTTTTTTTCTTTCACGGGCTGGGAAATACCTCCTCCAATTAGTATATCTCATATCAGGGTTTTAGTTTAGCCAAATATTTTAATGGACCTGGGCTTGTCATTGTGTTAAAAAACAGCATGCAAAATAGGATATTAAATGTGAAAAAGTCATTTTTGAATTAGTAAATAAAATCGGGTCAAAGACAGAAATGGCCAGGTTGCATTTGTATCATCAGATATCATGAAGCTGTGATGCTATGAAAACTTTCCACCATTGACCATTAGTGTTTAAAATTAGACTATAAGTCAGTAAACAAGAGGTGGAAGAGCAAAACATGTGAAATTGGATTACACAGTATGGGACCACATGTTAATGCTGTATACTAAATATAAAGAGGCTGTGATAAGTAGCTGAGGAAATTGTTACGAAAATTTCCTACCATTCAGCATTGACCAGTTATGCCAAAAATTTAACTTTAATGCAGAAAATTTAAGTCGATAAACAGAAAGACAACTTAATTCTGCACTGATTTGAAGAATTAGTTTGAAACAAACAAATGTAGAGCCCTTCATGGCTATATGCGCAGGTAGGTAATAACAACTATGTTGTGTATTGTTTGCATACGTTTATTTGTACCTCCCCCTTTTAAAAATGATATTTTAGCCATAGAATATGGTGTTGTGACATCTCATACATACACATATTATAAGGTTTTGACTTGAATCTCATTTTAAGGTTACCATCAAGCAGTATATACCATCCAAACACTGTGTGTGTGGGCCCCCGGCCCTGTGATTAGATAATACGTATAGTGTATTAGTGAAAAAAAAGAAGAAGAAAATGACAAAAGTCCCTCTGCAAAATAACACCCTTCCTCTAATTCTAGTAATATATATTGTATACTCACACTCCATAATGTATATTTAAATGTACACACGTTGCTTAATCCATAAATAACTAAATAAGGTCCATTTTTAATTAATAATTTTAAAACCATTCCCCACCCCCTCTCATTACGAACTAAGGGCGCGTTTGTTTTGCATAAACCGGTTTCAGTAGTAGGTTTAGGTTTTATGACAAATTATTTTGAAACCAAAACTAGTTTAGATGGTTTGCAGTTGCTACTACAAATGCATGGTTTTACAAATGGTTTGCAATCATGGCAGAACTTGTGGCAGCATTGCAGGGAATTTTTGAGGATGAAGATAAATCAGACGCTAGTCATGTTTATTTATCTTCCAGAAATCACGCGATATATGCTCAGATCAGTGGTGTGCTTGCATTTAGTACACTTCGTCATGAAAAAAGTAGAATTCGTGGTTATGTGGAGACTGTCTACCGTCAATACACCATTGATGATTTCAAAGACCGTTTTCGAATGAACAGAGACACATTTGAAAAACTCTTACATATGATGTCACCTTTTTTGAAGAACTCAAGGGGTGTACACCAGATTACGGCTGAGAAAAAACTACTGTTGTTCATCAAATATCTTTCTACGCAAACTACGTTTCAGCAACTAGCAGACATCTTTGTTGTGTTTGAAACAAGTGTCCATTCTGTTATCCACGATGTGTCTGAGATAATTTGCGTCAAACTTTTGCCCGAGTTGATAAAATGGCCAACAGGTAAGAAAGCCAAGGAGACAATAGATGGCTTTCAGCAACTAGCTGGCTTTCCTCGGATAATGGGCACTATTGATGGTAGTCACATTCCCATCCGTACACCGTCAGAATTTCCAGAAAACTACATTAATCGTAAACAGTACCCTTCTATTGTTTTACAAGCCGTGTGCGATAGTAAGCTACTATTCATCGATGTCTTTTGTGGTTGGCCAGGATCAGTCCATGACTCATGAATCCTTAAAAATTCCCCACTTATGGATAAAATTGAGGCTGATGTTTCGCAAGTTTTTCCCAGGTAACACGCATCTCCTCGGAGATTCAGCATATGCCCTAGCATCTTTGATGATGGTTCCTTACAAAGACTGTGGCAATTTAAACAAAGATCAAAAAGACATACAACTACATTCACAGTTCCACAAGGATGTGTATTGAACGTGCTTTTGGTGCGTTGAAGGGGCAGTTTCGAAGGTTTAAAGTTTATTGACTTGAAGGACATTTTCTTGTATTGTACATATTGTACTTAGCTGTTGCACCCTCCATCAGCTTTGTGTCCAGTGCAGAGAAGACCTGCTGGATTACATCACTGAAGGAATTGGCTGAAGCTGACGAGGCTAACTATTTTGAGAACTTCATGCCACTTTGTAGCAGTGCAGAGATGAAAAGAAAAACGATTGTTTGCACTCTCAAATGACAGCTGTGACTTGTAGTACAAACCAAAGCGATCAACAGCAGTATACAGATTTTGAGCTTTATTCAGCAGCTGTGTGACTATGTATGTGTTTCAGGCTATGTATGTGTTTCAGGCTATGTGTATCATTCAATATTGTTCACTTCTTACAGCAAACAATAGTGTGTTACCAATAAAATTGTTTTATTTCTATATTGTCTAGTGAAGTTTAATCCAGAGTCGGAGACCAATACAGTTTCCTGGGTACCTAACCGAACTGTTTTCGTTACCATTCACATGTGATTACTGACTTACCAGTACGGTTAATAACAGATACATAAATGTAGGATGAAACTTCATAATACAAAAGATCTTATTTCTCATTTTATTAAACAGTTAACCAAAAACAATTATAACAGGTACAAATGAATGACAAACAAGAAATGTCACAGAACGTGACGTATGCCCCACGAAATTGACCATTGGCCTTGAAGTGTGACCTTGACCTTGGAGGTACGGACCTGGGTCATGTGTGCTCTGCACGCCATCTTCTACAAATCAATTTAAAAATCCACCAGTAATCCACCACACATAAATGACAACGTTATGGACAGGACAAAAGAAAAAAAATGTATATTTGAACTTTGAACTCCAAGTGTGACCTTGACCTTGAAGGTACGGACCTGGGTCTTGCGCTCTGCACATCGCCCATTTATAATGAATACTTCTGCCAAGTTATATTGAAATCCACACATAAATGACAAGTTATGGACCGGACAAGAGAAAAAATATGCATATTTGAACTTTGAACTCCAAGTCTGACCTTGACCTTGAAGGTACGGACCTGGGTCTTGGTCTCTGCACATCGCCCATTTATGGTGAACACTTCTGCCAAGTTATATTGAAATCCAAACAGAAATGACAAAGTTATGGACCGGACAAGAATGTTGTTGCCCGGACAGACACACACACAGACACACACACACACACGGACGGTCCAATTTTAAGATGCCACCCTTTCGGGGGGGCATAAAAACATGAACAATGATTTCCTTGGGTGAAATTTCAGAAACATACCAAGTTTTAATCAGTCTTTAGTTCTACAATGAATTTCAAGTTTTTTAAAACAGCCATTATCCCATCCAAAAGCAGAACACAACATATCAATGAAAAACTTCAAAAAATATAAAATGGTTTAACATAATGTGTTCTGTTTATCATCAATTAGCTTTAATCAAGATCAACACATAAACATGTGTAAGGTTAAAATTAAACTGACGATGCTTCTTATACATGGCCACCATTAAAATTTACCAAAACCAGCTGTGCATACATAATGTACCATGAGTGAGTTTAAACATTTGTTATTTAACAATTACAAAGAAATAATATTCACTGGTGTGAAAATAATTAAAATGCAAAATACAATATCTATATTACAGATATGTGACTTCAATTTCTAAGTGTGTACTGCCTTGTACATGGATGAAAATCTAAAGTAAAAGTTCAAACTTGCAACAAAACATTGCAAGAAAATGCCATAAACAAGAGGGCCATGACAGCTCTGTATCACTGAACAGAGGAGCATGAAGAAACAGAAAATATTCACTAGAAAAGTGACCCAAAGATTGCTCCTACAAATCTTCCATGTCTCTCTCCACTTCTGTCAAAAAACAAACCTTGTAAAGTGTTCACTCTTACTTGGATTTTGAAATAGCATTAACCAATTTATCAAAAAGTTCTAGTTTGCTTTTCTCATTTGCCATACGGTCTTCGTGCTGTTTGGTTAAAACTTCCATTAACTGTTTTTGTTCCTGCTTCATGTCATCACGCATCTCTTGTAGCATTTCAACAACTGCATCCTTGCGGTTATGCATCACCTTTGGCTTCTTTGATGTTTGTTTTTCTACATCTTTCTCATCTTCTGTCCCTACAGAAGAGCTTTGAGTCTGAGGTGACTTGATGGAGCTGCTTACATACAATGGAGTAACATTGGGTCTGTACCCGTAAAAGTCCTGCAGTTCATGGAAGTAAGGGCATTCTTTTCGCTCATTGCCTGATTTCATGTTATGGTCAACTGTGTCCCTATACACTTTAGTAATATTTTTCCATTTCTGCTCGCACTGAGTAGCTGATATGTACCATTTAACTTGGTTTCTTTGTTGATATCTGATGCAATAATTGACCAGATAGTTTTTTTTTCAGTGAAGGTTTTCTGAAGTCTGAGCCTCGTGGTCTTGATGCAGGGCAATCAGCTTCAGGACTGCGGGTTTTGTCCAAACTTGTTTCTCAGACTTCATGTTTTCCGCAACAACATCTGGCTCAGCAGCATCTGTAGTCCCATCATGGCCATTCTGGCTTGTTGGTGCTATAAATAAAATCAGTTCTTCACCATGAAATAATAATGTGAGCATTTATGTGTGACTGAATACATTTGAAGTCAAGTTGTTTAACATTTTCGGTCAGACCACAATAATATGCGATTAACACTTGCAATATTTTGTCACTATGACAACCACAATAACTTCAAAGCAGTCAAATGAAGGAATGGATGCTTATGCCGCACAGTAGTACAGCTTTTACCATCTGATCTTGATGGTATGGTTGTGTTTTGGTTACTGAAAATAGTCAATTAAATCCGGAATGCAACGTGGTATACTGGATATTATATCCATCTACTTTTTTAAATAAACTATATAACTCCTTGAAGAAACTCCTTGCTATTGGTTAGCAAGTCATTTTTGACTGAGAATGATTATGCTGTTTGCTGGCAATACAGCTGCAGACACAAATACAGACAAGCTGAAGCTGATAGTTGAATTTGATAGTTGATAGTATGATGCAAAAAAGCTCCGATAATCTACACAGATATATCAAGACAGTAATACTGCAAAAAAGCTAATGTGCTTAGACGAATGGCCACTTCTCCATTAACTGTCTGAAGAGATGTCGTTTGTAGCAAATGTTTATGATGACGACAATTAAACCGATGATAAAAAATAATAAAAAATATGGCTGGAGATGTTACTTACCTACACCATCTGGAGAGGAAGATGTTAACCCAGTTGATCTAATCTCTGGCATTTCGCATGCTGTGCCTGTTCCCGACTCTGTATCTCTGTCATCTGTAATGGATTATGGAAAGATTTGTTTATGTCACTTTCAGTCATTGTATTACATGGTACAAAATGTAATATACATGCATATAGAGCTGGTAGTGGGACACATTTCTGTAAGGACCGTTAAGAAATGAAAATACTCAACACATGGAAGATTTCCACGTAAATTTATGAAACTTAATTATACAAGATTGCAGGGTATGTCATACATTCTACATAGAAAAAAAACAGTTACCGCTGTTTAGCTACAACCTTTTCTTAAATATGACACCCATTTCCATGTCTTTCATGCCAAAATTTATTTATTGAAAATATCAACTTATTAAGACACTTCTGTACTGCTAGATCGTTTCAATGTTCAATACAAACTTTAATGGTCATTCGATCAATGTTTGGAAGGTCAATGTTAAACTCCAAGAAATTAGATACCTGTATGATTTGTTGTAGTATGATTTGTTGTAGTGCATATGACTTTGTCAAAACTCGTCCCAATCAATCAAGGTGCACAGCACCCAAGGATGTATCTCCTCGACTGCATCCTTACAAGACCATTAAGGTTGTGTTCAGCACTCTCTGGAACACTGCGTTTGTATATGCCGGACAATGACTGGAATGTCTGCTGGGTACATGCTGCTTTCCAGCTTTTCTCTATACTTTTCATCACATGCCAAATAACTCTTTCAGAGTTTTTCTTGAGAGGTGTTGATGGAAACGTTCCGGGATGACACTGTGTAGAGCCCAATAGCCATAACCCTGAAACATTTAAAAAAGGATCTGCCCTGTATGACATACATTTGTAGCCTACATGAGCGCTGATGAGTACACGACTGTCTGGGGTACGAAGGTTTACAGTTAAAAACGCCCCCATTTTGGAAAATGAAATCATGTTTAAAATACCTCTTTATAGTCAAATTTTTAAAATTAATGATTTTAAAAACGGATGGAAGTTATTGTTCGATTGGGGGGTTGGAATGGGGAGCGATTTGGGTCGCAAATTTGGACATTCTCACTTTTTTGTGGGTGCCAAAAATGGGGACATTTTGAACTTGCAACCGGAGTACGAATTATCTTGAACGAATTTCAACATAGAATTGGTACAAATGTTCTTTGCCGATCGCAGAGGGCCTTTACAAAATGTTATTTTGTACAACTGAGCCCACATACACAAACATACCATTTAAATAACATTGGCCTTTCGCCATAATTGACAAATTCTTATGTTTCTTTACCTGTTTCCATTTTCATCCACGAGGTCTGCCATTTTTTTCCACAAGTGCACGTAATATCGGATACATCAAACCGTACAAACCGCCTATGGGGGCAGTTTGGTCGGTTTTGCAAACCAGCCTTGTGTGACTAAAAGTGGCCAAAAAGATCAAAGGAAAAGTCACAGAAGTACCATTTTGTAAGTACGTCCGTCCGAACGCACGTACGTCCCGAATTCGTGTCCGGCCCATAACTTTATTTGAAGTCGGAGTTTAAAACTATTTCAGAGAAATGATCACCATATTGAGACGACGTGTCGCGCGTAACATTTGGGTCGCTACTTTGAAGGTCAAGGTCAGAGCAAGACCTTGCTGCAAAATCGTGTCCGGCCCATAACTTTGTTATTTGAAGTCGGATTTTAAAACTATTTTACAGAAATGATCACCATATTGAGACGATTTGTCACGCGCAACATTTTGGTCACTACCTTGAAGGTCAAGGTCACAACATGACCTTGCAGCAAAATAGTGTCCGGTCCATAACTTTATTTGAAGTCGGATTTTAAAACTATTTCACAAAGGTGATCAACATATTGAGACGACGTGTCGCGCGCAACATTTGGATCACTACCTTGACGATCAAGGTCACAGCATGACCTTGCAGCAAAATCGTGTCCTGTCCTTAACTTCGTTGTTTGAA